ACTTTTTGTGAATTTTTTTTAGACACAGCGGCTGATTATTATTTATTGGGTGATTGTAAGGTAGGACAACTACAAGCTGTACAAAGATACTTCATTATCATGCAGCTGGGATTCTAGGATTTGGAAAAAAACCTGTAGTATAAGAGGAAAGTGCCAGGACAATGAGATTGGCATTAGAGTTTCAGATGCATGTAGCATTCCAGAGAGCTCATAATTGAGGTTCATGCTGACTTCAGAGTGTATTCATATTGACATCTGCTAAGAACACACTTGACAAAAGAAGCTCAACAAATTTAGGCATGAATTAATCTTGAACACTTTGAGATTCACTGCTAAATCCAACTTGGTATGTGTGTCGGCCCCAGGAGCTCTATAAACTTCTGCATTTCAGTGCACACAGAGTTAAATGACAATTTCCCTTTCCTGCTCCACAGGACATTTTCTGTTAGCAGTAAGATGCTAAGGATACTCTACTGTAGAGTCTCAGAAAGGATCCATAATGAACCTGGAGGTTGGGCTGTCCTTGGTTGATAAAAAGGAAGACCTCTGTTTAATGGCTTCCTGCTCCAAACATATAAGGAAAAAGACAAACATTGGGTTAGGGATATGTGCAGTATCTGTTAACTGAACAGAGTGCCCCAGACTTTGAAAACTGCCCACCTTTGGCCAGGGAGATGAAAAAAGGCAGATGGTGATCAATGCAAGTATTATTATTACTGTAGTTTGGTGAGTTACTGTAGCTGCTAGTTTAAATAATTTACTGGAGCCCACACTTCATCCCCTTATTGCCTTCATGCCTTTTGTGTCAAGGTGCCTAGGTCCCACACAAATGTTAGCACCCTGAGATATTATTTTTGGACATTGCGCATAAGATGGAAAGTTCTAGCGTATTCTTTTCTGCACAAGATTTCAGCAGGCCAGTGAAAAATGGGATCATAGCTGGCACATCCTTGTTCATTTACAGACAGGGTGACAATTAGGCTTTTAAAGTGCAAAAGGAATTTTAAAAATAATTTTAACGGGCAGTACAGGGGCCCCGAGGGCAGCAGGGCCTGGCTGGGCCCGGCACACAGTTCCCACGCGCCACACCGGGTCCTACCACCAAGGGCCCAGCCTAGCCGAGTAGCAGAGGGACCCCGGGGCCGGCAGGACCCAGCTGGGCCTGGCATGCAGTCCCCCACGCACCGCACCGGGTCCTGCCACCAATGGCCCGGCCTGGCCAGGCAGCAGAGGGACCCCAGGGCCAGCAGGACCCAGCTAGGCCTGGCACACGGTTCCCACGTACCACGCCTGCCACCAAAGGCCCTGCCCAGCCAGGTGGCAGAGGGGCCCCGAGGGCGGCAGGTCTTGCCACCAAGGGCCCGGCCCAGCAGCAGAGGGGTCCCAGGAGCCGACTGGGCCCAGCGTGCAGTCCCCGCATGCCGCACCGGGTCTTGCCGCCATGGCTTAGAGTGCCCCACTCCCGCTGCTGCTGATAAAGGTAAGTTATGGGCCCTGGGCAGGGGCCCTCCAAGGTGCCTGGGACCCTGAGAAGGTGGGCTGTGGCCCTCCAGGGGAAGCTAGGACCCTGGGCGGGGGGGCTGTGGCCCTCCAGGGTGCCTGGGACCCTGGGCTGGGGCCCTGTGGGGGATAGGGGCTGTGGCCCTCCAGGGGGGAGCTGGGGCCCTGTGGGGGCCAGGGGACCCACCCCTCCTGAGCAGCCCCCCCACAAGGTCCCCCACACCCACAGTCCCCCCAGCAATCGCCCACCTACCCACAGACCAACCCACATCCCTCCACACGCACCCATCATGTGCAAAGAAAACCAAAAGTACACATCAACACATATAGGTATTTAGAATTTATTTTAGCATGATGATAGAGACACTGGTAGGTTTCCACATTGCTTTACCATTGTAAATACAAATGTAAATAAAGCATTGCCCAACTGAGTGGTCTTTTCTGTTAATTGTGGAAAAACATGGATTTTGGGATATTTTTAAAAATAGATTTGGGATGCTGCTGCAGCAGTCCAGCTGGCACAAGGGGTAGTGTCCCCAGGTACCAAGTGGCTGAGCTCCAGAAGCTCTGGAGAGTGAGTAGCCCTGAGCTGCTTGCCAGGGCAGGTGTTTGTACTGCTGGGGCCAGAACAGGGCAGCTTTTTATACTGCTGGGGACAGCACAGGTGCTGGCCCCAGGCTCTAGCTCCCCCTGGCTGCAGATCCAGGAGGAGCCAGGCAGGGTTATTTTGCCCCAAGTGGCACAATTTGCTCCTCAACAAAGTGCATGTCCGAGCACGTGCGCTGAGGCAAAAAGCCCCGGCTCAAATTTGCACTGTTTCTATTTGAGCTGCTGCAAGCGCACGTGCTTGCATGTGTGGATGTGCCTTGTGAGGGAAAAATAGGTTTGGGATGAAGTTCAAAGAGAAAAGTTCATGCGGTACCAGCATTCTCTAGGGATTGGGATTGGTACATTTTTAAGAAATCCTATAATAGGGAAGGATCTAAACTGCACCTAAGAAAAATGACCTAAGAGCTCTATTGATTGTCCCTAAATAATGCTGTATTACAGAAATGGAAGTTTATCTCACCCAGATAAATGACTGCACCATTGCAATGAACAAAATAACAGCTCTTGAAAGAACACAGCATTACCTAGCATGCAGGTTCAAAAGTTTGAAAAAATCAGGAAAAGGAGAGGAAACATCAACCGTTAGACTGAATTTAAAATAAAGTGATTTTTTAAACATCGTACTTCCTTTATGGTTTGCCTACCTCTGATTTTAAGAAAATAGCCCTTTGCTACCTGAGCGTGAGAGTTCAGGTACTGCCCTCATTATATTAAGCTTTGGCTTATACCTCCGGGATCACACACTAACCTATTCTCCTCCCCCAGATGAGTTCCATGCAAGATGAACAGGGAATAGATAGCTGCTTTTGATATGCTTATCCCTGGTTTTACTGTTCACTCTGGTTTTACTGTTCACCCTGCTTGGCCCAGACAGCTTTTCCCAATTCTGTACATTCACCAGCAGTGCAAAGGAGGGAACTGCTTCTGATAAAAGCAGCCAGACTGGGAACAACACCTTCTGGTGGCAGATAGGGAAGTAAATCAGCCACAGCAGAAAAACAAGAACTGCATTTTTTTCAGCAGAAGTCCTGAGCAGAGAGAATTTCTCACTAGATTACAACCAGCATTTTAACATACCACAAGATTGTAAGGTTCGCAATATACTTTCAAGATACCACCAACCAAGGAGTATCATTTAGTTCCAATAATAATACAGCTTCCAGTCATGGGGTCTCCTTGTTGATACATACCTAACCAAACTCAAGACTTAGCAGAATGATACACTGATCAAGTATAAATATGCACAAATTCCTTACGACAACTCCACAATATGAAATACATCAGAATGCCCTGCATCAGTGTTTTATACTATGTCAATATTAGTAAGACATTTAGTCTCATTTACCAATAAAATTACAAATAAAGAGTTGAGAGAGAGAGAATGAGCAGAAGTTTGTAATTAAAAATTGACTGTCAGCGTGAAAATAAAATCTGAGGTAGCAATAGGGTTTTTTTGTTACTCACTTTCCATGTCTTTGGCATTGACTTTGGCTTAGGTGATTGAGAAACTGTATCAGTTGACTTCTTAATTAAACAGATAGTTTCAGTCTGTTTTCAAGACAAATCTTTTTAGCTTTATTAACATTTAATGCCTTTGTAGTGCTGGCTATGGAAATAGAGGGTACTGTTGGGGCCAGTCCTTGTTATATTGTCCAGAGCTATCAAGCTATTATTCTTTGCTTTGTAAACACAAGTCAAAAAGGATTAGTGTTACTTTCCAGATATCACATTGGCATTTCAATTAACTGACATGAGCCTTGGTAGGGTTGATATTAACATATTTTGCCTTTATCTTGCAGAATACTCTTTTCATTCTATCTCAAGTTCTTTGTTGCTTCCTGTAATTTATTACCAACATGTCTGTGGTTCCTAATAAAACTTCATTTTGCAATTAGGATATTCAGATAAATCTGTGTTGACTACTAATAAGGTCCTTCAATATGATTTTTACTATGTTGCCTCTGTCTTTCCCCAGAGGAAATGCTGGTGCTTAATGTTACAAACTAAGAATTTACTTCTGGGGTTTAAAATAACCAACTTAGTGCGTTGTTTGTTATTCTGCTGGAGCTCTGAAAAAAATGAGGGGGAAACTGAAGTCTAAATTAAATAGTAAGTTTAGAAGGACTCCACTTATTTTGAGAAATAATTTAGTTGTATGGAATTTTACCTCAGATCCCTGTGTTCCTCAGTGAGAGTTTTCCACTGAATATCCTATAGGAAAGGCAAATCTGTGCACAAGCATCAGAACATGACTATTCAAATGTATTTTCATGCTGAAAAAATGCAGAGTTTGTTCCATCTATGGCTAAAGAAAGATAGGTTCTATGACTGCATCTGTGGCAGATCTGGACACCCTTTTCAATTAAAATAATACCTATACAAGGGCCTCTCTCTTCAGTAGTAAAAATGGCAAAAACTGTTATATAGAAATAGCTACCACATTGGATTTAGTAGCGTAATTATTTTTGTGAAGTATTTCAAGCTGAAATCTGGTAAAGAATTATGTACTATTTCTTTGATTAAAAGCTCTCCCAAAATTATAATACTAAAAAACCTGCTAAACCACCATTTTATTTTCACTAAAAACCAGTTATCAGCTTAGAAAATTGGTGACGGACAGGGGGGACAAGGCTGAACTCCTCAATGAGTTCTTTGCCTCAGTGTTCCTAAGCGAGGGGCAAGACAAGTCTCTCACTGGGATTGTAGAGAGGCAGCAGCAAGGCACCAGACTACCACGCGTAGACCCTGAGATGGTGCAGAGTCACTTGGAGGAACTAGATGCGTCTAAGTCGGCAGGCCCGGATGAGCTCCATCCAAGGGTACTGAAGGCACTGGCT